ATCGGTGGAGGTAAATGATTTTCAATTTTATTGGTTTTACCTTTCTGGATTATTACTAATGCTTAGTAATTTTTCTTTGCAGGTCATTTGACACCAAGGTGGAGGTTTGTTAGGCAAATTGTTGTCAAACGACCTCTCTGGGCGATGATGTAAGTATTATCTTTATTCAGTCGACCTCGACCAAATGACTGAATATGTTTTGACACCACAATTGACTAAACTAATCACATAACCCAGTTGGGCTACTTGAAGCAGCTTAATTATATTAGTGCTGCTCATGGCCCAACACAAATAATATAGGTTGTTTTAAGTTGCTAGCCTACTTAGCTATCATCCTATTGGGCCTATCACTTGACCTAAAGCCCATTCATAAGCTTAACCTATTTAATGCTATACCCATTACTGTTGGAACAGTGCGAAAGTGATTGAGGCGCTGTTCGGTTTTCTTGAGAACTGACTTTTCCTCCCTTTTGCTTTGTGCTCTCGAAGGCTTTGTGCTTTCTCTCATGGGATAATTTGTTTCTCTTCCTTTCCTTTGTGGTTAACATACTTTGGGCCTAATCCTTTCATCTCTAGCTCTTTGTGGGCATTATAAATTGAAGCAACCGATTTTGGCTTTGGGAAAGTGACGGTTTGTGACTTTGGTTTGGTAACTGTGGTTTTTGATCAATACTGAGCCCGGTTTCCTTGGTGCACAAGGAGTTTTCTTCCTCACACAAGCCAATTATCTATTTTTTACCTTATGGACTCCAATTTCTTCACCTTGTCGTGTATCAATTGATCCACTTTCCCCAAAATGATGAAATTACTTAATATTATGTCTTAACTTGAACTTCTCAAGCAAACCTTGAGAAAATTTGAATTCTGAAGTCTCTTTAGGGTTTAATTATTTCACAGTGTCTCTTGCCTATTTCAAGATTAGTCATTCTGTTACGTTCACAAGATCTTAGTTTTAAAGAAACCACTCATAAACAGCCTTCTTCATGTTTGAAAATTTTGATGGTTTATGTCGTGTAGCCTAACCACTCATTTCGTGAAAATTTTCAGACATGAAGAAGGCTGTTTATGAATGGTTTCTTTAAAACTAAGATCGTGTGAACATAACAGAAGGACTAATCTTGAAATTATAAAGAATTAAGTAAAATGTTCAAAGGAATTCAAAAATTGAAGACGAAACTAAATTGAAGAACAATCAATTTCCCTTCTCTTAGGCTCAGAAATTTTTAATCCAACACCACAAAGGCAACACCAATTGGAGAATCTTGGAAGTAGAGAGAGTTGCACACAAATGCATGAAGAAGATGCACACAAAAGCACAGTGAAGAGAGAGATGAAGAAGCCGATTTTTTCTTCAAGTTTTGGTGTGTATAAATGAGAATAAAAGACTCCAATTTATAGGCAAAAATGGCAAACAAATTTCCAGATAAGTCTCTCCAAGATAGAGTTCAAGAAGATTGAAATGGTTACCAAGGATAAGAATATCACAATCATCGAACTTCCACGTGAAAAGAGATAGAATTCCCAATTCAAATTATCTCCACAATTGGGTATTGAGCACCTAGCCCAATGGGTTGATTTTATCTAAATACCCAACAAGATTGGGCTACATCACTTGTGGTGTGAATTTTAATATTCTTCATTCCTGAGCTTATAGCCTATGAAGATAAACGGGCTACGATTTTTCATCATTGCCTAGGGGTTATTTGGGCATCATGAAAATACCCAACAACCTCCACCTTGATGGCAAATCAACCTGCAAGCCAGATATGATAACAAATAGCTTAAGGAAAGAAACTTACAAGTTTGTACCAATGATTAGAAGATCAAGGCAGCTTCTAAACTTTACCAATGGGAGCGCCTTAGTTTCCATGTCTGTAGGATTATATTGTGAAATGATTTTCTCAAGTTTTACCAGTTATTGAGAAACCATATCTCTAATGAAATGCA